GAATACAATATCAATACTGCAGATTGTATTATTAATGCAATGGTAATGATGATGATGATTAACAATAGCAGTAAAATAATTTCTAATCCCTCACACTTCCAATGAGTGAAACAGTAAGAGCATGTGGAGAGTTTGGAAACATCCCATTAAGAAAGACAAATCAAACATTTGGATTCATTTTAATGAGCTCAGACTTGTTGAAAATGCAGAGGAGCTGGTTGTGAACTGAGCTTCAGAGAAACACAGCATATCGATATTCACGGTGAAGCTTTGAGTGGAAAAAGACAGAGAAACAACATGTGGATCCTGGAATTATGGGAGCTTCCATCTTTAAAGGATTGAAGATGAAAAAGTTTACAAGGAATCATTTAGAACAGTTTCAATCACCAACTGATTGAATCCATGAATCTGAAAACGTGTTTCCGAGTGAAAGAGACAGACATGTACAGACTGAACTATCTGTTCAACAATCAGAGTGTTTCTCTAACAGGAGGACACTCTTTACACCCAACTCAGCACAGGGACACTGAGGAACCAGGAGACCAGAACGTAAACCCAGGATAAAGAGTTTCAGTGAATGTGGTGTTGAAGGTGTGGAGGTGGATCAGAGTGTCAGAGGAGACTCTGTAGAAGGACAGAGTGCCAGCAGGAGAGTCCACATACACTGCTATTCTGTTAGAGACAGAGGAGGAGGAGGAGATGGATGTTTCTCTGCTATTGTGCCTGACATGACGAGGACCATCATTAGTGCAATACAGACTCCAGGACTGATCATTGTATCCAAAACCACAGTAGACACTGTCTCCTTTCCTTCTGATTCTTCTGTAACTCACTGATATATAAACTCTTCCTCTCCACTCGACCTCCCAGTAACAGCGACCAGTAAGACCATTTCTACATAGCAGCTGAGGATCATAATCAAATCTGTCTGGATGATCAGGATATGACTGAACCTCCATTACATATGTCACCTTCCTGTTGTTGTCAGACAGTTTGAGTCTTATGTGTACTGTGTTTGTGTCAATTGTGAGTTGACAGGAATCTGATGGAGAGAACAAACACAATCCAGCTGCAGTTATTGATCCATCATCTGTTCATTGATTGACACTTTGATGTGAATGAGTGATGTGACAGTTTGAAGATGGTTGAATGTGTGCTGCTTTGTTTTCATGAATCCCATTAAAAACACACTTACACTTCCTCAGACCTGGTCTCAACCATCGGACTCCAGCAGGCTCCACCCTGAAAGGAGAAGGTGGGTCAGACCAGCACAGTCTCTTTCAGCATGCACACATGGACATTACATGGCTCTCATACACAGACTGTTAGACACTGATAAAGGAACACTCCAACATTTTCACAAATACACTTCAATCCATCTGTGGATCAAACTGCTGATGATTTGGTTTGATCCTGGTTCTGTCAGTACACCACTGCACTGAATGAAATATCTGACCTTCATTAAGTGTGCCTATGCCCGGAGGCACACTTATTACTATTCGTCAGATTTATTCTTCTTATTAGTATTAAGTGTGCCTATGCCAAGAGGCACACTTATTACTATTCTTCAGATTTATTATTAAGTGTGCCTATGCCAAGAGGCACATTTATTACTATTCCTCAGATTTATTCTTCTTCTTATTATTATTATTCTCAATCTTCCGATTTATTCTTCTTCTTATTATTATTATTAAGTGTGCCTGTGCCAAGAGGCACACTTATTATTATTCGTCAGATTTATTATTCTTATTAAGTGTGCCTATGCCAAGAGGCACACTTATTACTATTCGTGAGATTTATTCTTATTCTTATTATTATTAAGTGTGCCTATGCCAAGAGGCACACTTATTACTATTCACAGCGTCGCTGCTTTCAGGAACCATTGGAAGTTTTAAGGTTGCGCGAACCATTGAATACTTACGGTAAGCGAAAGGGTGTATGCTTGGTGGAAAACTCCATATCCCACAATTCATAGCACGCCTCTACGGAGTCAAACAATGGCGGCCACCACTTCGATTTTATAGTGCTTTTATTCGTGTTTCTAGGTCACAAAATAAACTTTTAAGATATTTTCAGGCGAGAATGTAGTTGTGTAAACTTCAAATATCTGCTCGTTTTATCAAGATATCCGATATTAGCAACAGCGCTCTGATGATGTCGGTCCTGCCTGACAGCTAGCCGGCTAGCTAGCTAGCGCGCTTGGCTGACAAGCGACCCGGGCTGCCTTACAGTCACAGCGGGGCACTCTGGTTTAACACCCCGGTCTGCCGCAAGGACTCTGTTTCTCAGCTGGACATATTTTTCATTTATATGGGCTGATTATTCATTTATTCATTTTAGTAACAGTATAAACAGTGAAAGGTGATGGATCTGCCAGATGCTGGTCAATGTGGAAAAATAACTCAGTTGTTTGGTGGTGGCTAACGCGGAAGTACAACAGAGGGCAGCTAGCCACTGGTGTATGACAGAAAGGACATGCGGGAAAAAGAGAGATACGAGGCGGCAGGAGAAGCAGACCCAAGGCGGCCGCCAGTCGGAGCGTGAGGTGAACTGAATTTCAGGTAAGAAGTTATGAACTGCACTCTATCTGGGTCAGATATAAACAGAGTTTAGGTGTAGTTTATTTTCGTTGAACTGACTTTTTACAATCAATAAATTACAATAACTCGTACTGCTTGCTAGCTAGCATGATGGAGTTTCTATACAGCTGTGTGCGTGCTATGTTACTGATGGAATGAAACAAGATGGCGCCGGTGTGCGTGGCTGCTTGTCTGTCACTGCCAAGTTTGTTCCTGTTTATATTATTTCTAATTTGTGTCATCCACGAAACAAAGTCTCTGTGGAGGTATGATCGCCAGACACTATTGGACCTCAAACCTGTGGTCCGAAATATTGTGTCCTTTGGCAACCCCTGCCCCCATTTGCATCGGAAACCCCGGGTTACCTGTACCGGGTTCCCACGCTACCTTCCCGGCGAAAGCGTCATCATCGCCGGGGTAAACGAAGTGGTCGCCTGGTGAAGCTAAAGGTTTCCCTATAGAATTATTCTGCTGTTTTCCGACCAGTGCATGGATTCTTTCCAAGGCTGTTTGCACCTCAGCGTTTTCTGGATCCTGTTGATGCCTGTTTGGTGCCTGTGGTCGGCCTTGATGATGATGCTCCTCGGCCTTGCTACCCATGCCCTCCCAGGCTAAACCTCCGCTGTCAACATTATCGGAACCTGACTGAGACGTGGCTGAGTGTTGGTGAGTCCAGTGTTCTATCTGAACTTTTACCTGTGGATTGTTGCTATTTTAACTCGCCACGGATGTCAAGCAGAGGTGGAGGCACAGTGACTGTTTACAAAAAGGATTTTAAATGTAAGCAGTGTTTTCTACAGCCTTCATTCTCCAGCTTTGAACTTACCTCGTTTGAGGTGAGTCGTACAAACCCGGTTTTCTGCGCTGCCATCTATCGCCCCCCAAAATACAATAAGAACTTCAGAAACGACTTTTCAGATTTTTTAGCTGGGATTATGCCCAACTATGATAGTCTTCTCACTGTTGGAGATTTTAATATACATGTATGTTGTCCTGATAAGCCACTGGGAAAGGACTTTTTAAGCCTTATTGACTCTTTTAGCCTGGTACAGTCCGTGCCTGGCCCTACACATGAGCACGGACACACACTGGACCTTGTTCTGTCATGTGGTCTGCCTGTCACTAACTTGGAGATTTGTGACTGTGCACTCTCAGATCATATGCCTGTGTTATTCAACGTTGGTTTGACATATACCGCAGTTAAATCTGGCGCTGCTACTCGGTGCTGTCGGGTTATTAACACCGCCACTGGTTTTCGCGGTTTTCTGCTGCTTTTAATCAGCTCGGCGGCCCTTCTGACTTTGTTTCCTCTGATACAGAAGAGCTAAATTCGTGGTTTTATTGTTGCTGTCAAAAAATCATGGACTCTGTGGCTCCTTTAAAAACCAGGCCAAGCAGAACGGAGATGGAAAAAGGCTAAACTGCATGTATCATTTCAAATTCTAAAAGACTGCTGGCATTGCTACCAGAACACTGTTAAAGAGGCGAAAAGCTGGCACAGCTGGCTGCCGGCGGAGCCAACGAGCACGCCGGTGCAGCCCCCTCTGGTTTCTGCCTGGTGGCTACTGGGTGACCCCTCGCCTGGGTATCCTCAGCCCTTCCCATGAAGGTGGCACGGATGCCCCTCCGGTGGTCCTCCTTGGGCTCTTGCACTCTGGGACCTCTGGATGTCTGGGGCCTGGATCTCCTCCATGCCTGCTTCATGCCCTGAGGGACAGGGCTATTGCTCTCTACATCCTCTTGCAGACCATTACATGGGGAAACCATTTGAATACAAGCGCGCCGA